CTCAGCATAATTCCAGCAAAACAGATTGGCTGGCTGAACAAGACATTGTAGACTGATTGCAACAGGAAATGACTGTGGACTAAGTCGGCTCTGACCAAGATAACTGACTGAGATATATGTTTTCTTGTGGGCCTCGTCGCTCCATTTCTGCTGATATGATCAGCAAGTTCATAGCGTCTTCATAACAGGATCACTTGACCCAACCATGTTCTGACCTTTTGGCTCTGGCCTTTGGGTTTGGGCTAGAGACCCCTGCATTTTCCCCTGTACCAGTCTCTCTCCCTAAGTACTGGCAGCTGTATCTCACTCCCCTGATAATTTAGGGCTAAATACCAGTTTAAACAGTGTGAGGAATTGTCTCACGCACAGTTACTGAGCACTGGTGTTGATCCACATTCTTTCCTGAGTAACTGAATCTCTTCCCTTCCTAGATAGTCTTCTGCAGTTTATTATTTCCATTTGTGCATAAAATCCTGCCAGATCAAATTATTACCAGTTTTCGCATTAGTTCCTTGTGAGGTATTCAGAGTCAGATCCATATTGAGATTTTCTCCTTATGACTTCGATCATTAGTCAACACCCATCTACTAATCTACTGGATTCTGATTCTGATATTGTTCTGCACTGTTCTGTTCCTTGTCTGATTTTGTTTCCCTTTCCATTCGGGTGTTGGGTCCTGTTGCCTCTGAACGATCGTGGATCGCACTGCGAATGGGCCTCAGCCTGACTTACTACGGCAAGAAGTCTATGGTTGTGGTAACACAGCCAAGATTCTTAGACTAAATTCCACATAATGATGACACCCATATTCCTTCTCTTAGTGTTTTATTTTGAGCCCTAATTATCTATGAAAATCATTTGATTTTTACACGTCTTTTAGATCAGGGATATTTTCCAGGTAAGGCAGTTCTGCCTTAAGCATGCACTGGCTCAAATGCAGCTGGTAAATAGGGGAAAGATGGCTGTATAAAGTAGACTGTGCTGGCTTATATGCAATTTCCCCAGCATGTTTATGTTTGGCATGGTGCTGTCACATGCTTGAGAATGCCAGTTCATGGAGGAATACATTAGATACTTAGTTAGCTAAATTAATCCACATGGCTGCGAAACCTTGAGGGTCTAATGAAAAACTGATTTGATTTGGAAATCCAGTCCAAGCATCTAGATCTGCGCTATGTCAACTGACAGCCATCTGTGATTCACAGTGATTAAATAAACTTTAAACGTTAAAGCAACGAATAACAGAAAATAGCACAAACTACATATCTTATACCAGTCTTGACTCAAGTGTTTATGAATTCCATAGATGAACACTATTAGCATGGCGTGTACATATTTGTCTCATCTATTAATAAACAGACAGTAATTCCGAACTTGATGACAGGCTACTTGCATTCTGTCATTCATCTTTCATTAGCCTGGTTTCCCTTCAGGTTTACTTCAATTTACTGCCATAGATGAGGTACATTGCTAGTGAGGGCCATCATTATGCAAGTGGGTTAAATCTGTTGCGATCACAAATTCATGCCTCATAGGTGTCATAGCATACAGAATCCTAACAACTGTCAATTATGGGCTGTCATAGGTAGCTGTCAAGGGCACTGCAGTGTGCAAACATACAGGATAATGTGCCAAAATGTACATGGAATAGACAATAAATACAGTTAAAAACAGTCCAAAGGTAACAAGAAGCAGCAAAGTGGCTGGTGTGGGAATCTCCACCCAAGAGAGGTGAGAGGAGTCATACAGTCATTCATTACAAGCTATGCCAAACTTAGCTACCCATAAACACAGTGAATATGTTTACAATAAATTATTACTACACATTGATTCCAATACCAATTTCATCTGACCAATAGGGGGTGCAATTGCACCCCCTGCACCTCCGGTAAAATCACCTATAATTGCAGGTGTGGGCTGGGTGCCAGTCAGGGTGCTGAGGAAATACTGACATATGGAAACAGGTATGGAGGGCAGCCAGCCTTCATGTAGTATTTCTAATTGCAGTGAGTAGCCATCTGCAGATGATTTCTCTTTAACGAACACAAACTAAACTTCTAGGAAACTCAAATTGCCATAAGATTGACTTTGACTGAGATTAAGGTAAACATGCATGCTCTGCCTCTCTCCATGGCATCATTACTTTTCAGTTTACCACATTACATGGCTGCCCTCAGATCGAAGCAGGCTGATTGGCTATTAGCTAATCAAGTGTGTGCTTTTCACAGAAGGTTTTCCACCCCAGTAATAGTCTAAGGAAGTGCTTGTGGTCAGGGGGGTCACATGTGATTCTAGGGGTCATATGGAAATTAAGCCAGGAAGCAGCATATGGAAGACATACTGGAATAAACAATTTAGACAGCAAATCTTGCACCAATGGGAAATATATTTTCTGGAAAAAGTAGAAACGCATATTCAGTGCTGACATAGTAGTGATTGTTTCTGTGAAGGTTGTGCCACATTAACATAACAATAATATTAATAACAATAATAATAATAATAATAATAAATCCCTTTAGTTCTCTAAGTAATGATTATAAATAAACAGTCCTGTCTTGGACCTGTTACATGTCTTCATTAATTTATTTCTTCATTGGTCTAAGACAGGCCACCTGGTCATTATGACTAAACCTGAACTTCGTTTCAAAATGATACAAGCAAATGAAGCTGCCATTTGCTGTGGTTTTTAAACATGTTTGGATGGCCATCAGAGATACTTCTTGAAGCATGGCAATGCTTGATATTATGCTTTGAAAATCAAGTAACACATTGTTGCAAATGCTATTCCTTTAAAGCATACTTTCAAAAGCAATTTCCGACCCCAATTACTGCATGTAAACAGTATCCCTGTGCTTTGGTTAACTCCCAAATCCCATCTGAAGGCAATTTTACATCAAAAAGGGCCTATTTTAAAATCCAAAATTTTTGGCCAAAGGAATATAAATAGCACAACAGAAAAGTAGACTGTAAATTGGGGCCTGCTCTATGGGGATAGGAAACAATTGAAAAGAAAAGTGAACAGAGTATTAAAAACAAAACTCAGAAATGGTAACAAATTTCTAACCATTTATTGTTAATATTGAGTGAATGGGAGTTAAAGACGGTACTCTTCCTCCAAGGCAAGGATGCTTCATGAGCAGTGCAACGCATAAATTACCAAAAGTACTGTATTGGTACCCTTCCACTTTTAAAAACAGAATTGGCATATGCTATTCTTTATTCCACACTCTATCCTTTTCATTAGATGAAAGGTTGATAATGGCTGACCTACTTCATACATTGGAAATGCTTTGTTATTCTGTCTATATATTTTTAAAAACTATGATGCAAGTTTTATAGAATAAAATGAATGATTTGATTCATGCATGTGATTTGATGTTTAATCACAGTGCGTAAGGATGGGAAAGTCAGCAAATTAATTACATAATAAATAAATTCAACTAAATGGCAAGATTCATCTTAGATTCAAATTGTCATGTGCTGCCCAGTCCACTGTGGGTAGAGATGGGATTATTTAGTGAAGCTTCTCGCCCTCATGCAGAGTCATTGAGACCCCAGTTATCGGAAAGAGCTGGACTGTCCCTTGACGTTGGAGCGTCACTCTTTACCAGGAACACTGAAGACTCAGCAGTTATCGGCTGAACAGAGAAATACTGTCACCGGGTGTTTGCGGGTAAAAAGTGGCGATACAACATTCTCTGTTGCAAGAACCAGATGATGGTATATTTAATTTTTAATGAAAATGTAGCATCTGAATCCTGAGATGCAAGAAAAACAGAGCTTTTCCTTAACTGGCTGTTGCATTTCATTATTGTAAAGCCCTGGTCAATCAGTAAATCTGTGGAACAGTTGCTTTTACTATTTGATCAGAAAAGTATGAAAAAAGAACTCACATAGTTTCCATCTGCTGATCACTATTAGGAAACAATGGTTTGATTTATTTCAATGTTGAATTCATAATTTCCACTATGTGGTTGCAACGCTATGATGCATGCTAAGACAGTGGATAGGATATAATCTTTCACATTTTTCAAAATAAATAAAAAAAAAATACAATATTCAGATAAAATAAGTAAAAATTCATGTATATTTTAACATAATTTTGGGAGTGCACTCATGCATTAATAGCACTGATAAGGTATTTTTAAATTTGGATAATATTCTTTTTTTTCTTTTTTTGCAATTTTATAGACATTTTAGTTAAATGTAGTGAATCGCTTCTAGATGAAAGAAAATAAAAAAAAACAAAACATTGTTTTGCTAGTATATGATGCTCAAAGCATTCAGTTATATGTTTTTTTTTTCTTTATAACTGGAGTACTTAGTTCAAATGCTCTCAATCTTTCATTTTTTTAGCTCCGACATATCTGAAATAAACACCTGTCCACATGCTATAATGAACATTTTTCTCTGTAAAAACTTTTGAATTGTTCATTAAATTAAAAACAGACAAAAGAGTACAAATAAAAATGAACAACAAACTTTTGGGTACATCTGTACTTTGTTATATTTTCTTGATGTGTTACAAATGTTTTCCTATAAACCTCAGACATTCCTCTCAGAGGTTTTTACCATCTCTGAAACTCCATGTGTTTTACTGTTTTCTACACTCAATCACTTTCTACATTAAGACCAATAAGGATTCATAAACTAACAACATGAATGAAATAAAAATGCTAAAGACATGCTATAAAGAGTGCTCCAGTTTCTGTAAGGGCTGTGAATATCGAAGACCTTTACACAACAGACATACTTCGGAAAATATTTGGCATAGAAACATGCTGTAATAAAATGAGATAGTTTGATGATTATTTTGTGTGTGTTATGACACATTTTATATTTTTTTTAATGTCAAATTGTTTTCTGATTTTTACAGGAACATTTATGTCACTACTTGGTTTCCATAATAAACATTTATGATCCTTATTTTCATGTCCAAATAATTTCTCATACATAATAGGCAAAATCTTGCAACAATAGGGGCCAGCAGACCAGGGAAGAATGTAAAAAAAAAATTGCTGATTTATTAAAAGCATTGTGCCAAGTCACACTTACAAAATTGTCAAGTTTGGTTAATGTATATACATGTACATGTATAGTACTACAATAAAAGTGCATTGGAAGTACATGTAATATAGAATGCCTCAGTTACTACTCAGTGTAAATTATACCACAAAATATTTAAAAGATCCTAATTTGAGGCTTCATAGCCAAACACAATCTGTTGTTCAGTAAGCAAAAAGAAACTATTTCGAGATGTCTTAGACTAATGACACAGAGTATTATACATTAAGGCTCAAAATTGTGAGCTGAGTCCTTGTTTGGGGTTACGGGATCCTTTCATTCCTTTGAAAGCATCTTATGAAGAACATTGTGGTTATTTTAACAAAATACCAGAAATGGTGATGTAGGCTTATTAAACAACATTTTAAAATCTGTGTGATGCAAAACCATGCCAGATGCATCTTAGCTTTTTGCTAGTGATCAGGGGGCTGGAGCTTAAAGGCTGTTTACATAAATAAGATGAAAAGAATTAAAGAGATAATCACAATGTTTATGCCTGTATTTACACTGCAGCTACTTGTGGAATGGCTCTGCTATTTTTATGAGCTTGAGTCAAACTGCTGAGTGAGCAGCACACCACGCTAACCCCAAGCAAGCATACCTGCGACACGAACTTCCCCATATACAGGATTCTTATTGGAATTGCTTTCCACAACCTAATTGGAGGGAAATGTCATGAGATGCGAGACGAATGACTTGAAGACAGGCGTTTAGTGAACAAAGAGGAGTTTACAGGACACAAGTGAGACTGCTAGGAGTCAAAACAAGAAGGTGAGTACGGGGAAGGACACAGGCAGACGGGAGGAGCGACGTCAATGACCGGCTTGGGGATGATGAGATAAACAGGTACTTATATACACATACAAAAGAGAGGTAACAAGCAACAAGATTGGCTCATCAGGGCCACGTTAGGGAGGAGACAGGAGGGCCGGGCGGGAAAGATGGGCAGGACGTAACGGAAAAAACAAAATGAGCTAATGAGACATTCATTGGTTAAGGAAGGTGACCACAAAGGTACCTTACACTGCCGCAATGCAGAGCACATATTTAATGATGGGAACATCTTTTAAAGTAAGCCACAACATCACACATTTGTCAAATGAAGTCTAGAATAGTTACATAGTTACAGGGGCAGTCTGTACCTGAATACACAGGAGTTGCATGACTTTTATAGCTAAGCAACACACAGGGATAGGTAACTACGGTAAACTGTAAAAATTGTGCATACTGAATCACAACAAAACAAAAAGCACAGCCGACGGTTATACCTACACAGCTGTGAAGCAAGTGATGATATTCAAATATGCAGTGATGTCAACAGCAGTCCTGACACACACAGTGGAGTTACAATGAAACAAGTATTAAATACAAAGATTAAATTTAAATGACAGAAGACAATGTTAATTTAGGATTGCTAAATAAGAACTTTCAGTGGCTGATTAAATACCTTTAAACATGGCTCTTAAGAAATGTACAAATATAAAATACAAAACATTGAAAGACAACTTCACAAGGTGTGAGTAAAACCATTCGATTCTGCTTTTTTACTACAAGAAGCTGGTTACAAAAAGACATTTTTGACTTTGACCTTTTCAGTTTCCCACCAATTTCCCCATGTAATACTACAATTTTACAAGTTACCTTGTGTGGACCATAGTCAGTCATGTTATTTTTGAAACAACAAGTCTGTGAACAAGCAAACAAAAAAGGGCACTATCTAATTCACTGAAAAAAGTATAGCATTATCTGTGCCATTGAAAATTTTTATTTACAATTAAAAAAATTCATAAAAATGTATACTTAAGAAAAGGGAAAATGTTACAAAAGGTCATTTTAAAATGCTATATACACGCTACATTCCAGGCATGTAATATTTTCATTAGAATGTCATATAAATGCATATTTCAGATGACATCTGCGCTCCAAAGCTGCCTGAGAAATAAACTTGGGGCAGAAAGTTCCACTTGAGGCTATGCAACCCGGAACAATGGAAGGATCAGATGGACTGTAGGTTCAACGTAGTGTTTATAGAGGTGGGACTCCCTCTCTGCAAACTGCCATTCGATTGTGCTAGTATTTCTATGCAAGTACAGATATCTATGCCCAGGTAAACCTGCTGGTCCCAGGGGAACACATTCAACATGGCATCACCATTCAAAGCATATAACTTTATTCTAGGAAATACATAAAAACGTGGTCTGACCCATTTTACTTACTTATTCTGCTTATAAATGTGGGTCAGATATACCTGACTACTAGTAAATCGCTACTAGAAAATAAAACATCAAAAACAGAATTAAAAATGTGTTCTAAAATACTAATGATGTTTCAAGTGGGAAAATTTTACATACATTTTATGTTTAAGAGAAAAAAATAAATATATTTATATATATTTTTTAAATCTAAATTTAATAAATACCTAATAAATACATTCATATGTACAAAAAAATTGCCTTGTAGATAATTCTTGCACCAAAATTAATAAATGCTTCTCTTCATAAATACCAAGATTTTTCAGCTTACAAATTTTTTACATCAGATTCGGTAGCTGTATTTGGGCAATCAATGTTGTCCGTTGTTTTGTTAATGATCAGACTAAGAATCCGTCAGGAGGCTTTGGAATTGGCAACGAAATTTGCTTTGCTGGCAATAAACTGAGGGGAAAACAGGAAACTCTTTCTGAGAGATATCTGTTATGAAATGCCATATTCACATAACACTCAGATTGCTAGATTTCTCAGCAACCGGTACCACTACAGCCATCTGTGAAACATCATGCAGAACAATGAAATAAAGATCAGAATCGGTATATCGATAACTGGGAAAAAAAAATCGAAAGAGAGTGTAAGTATGCCGCAAAATACGACTAAATATTACCCCCTAGGGGTGGGAATAATTGAGGTGTTCGTATTTTTTGTTGTTTCGCTTTTTTAAGCAAAGTATGGTGGATATACCTGTATTAAAAATATTTATATCAGATATTCTGTACATTTTCTATTCAAAAGTTAAAAAGGATAAACTGAGGCAAAAATGGGTATAAGCTGTAATCTCGTCCAAATCAAAAATATATGTTTGGGGCCCCATCCATTGCCAATGTTGCAAATCCCTCGATGTTCCTGATGTTAATAAACACAGCACAATTCTGGCATGTGAACCACACATATCACAGCGAGGTCTGATTTCCTCAGTCTGTTTTACAGAAGGAGTTTTCCATTTCGATGGATCTTTAAAATCTTCCCCAGTCTCTGCTTGGCTGTGGCCATTCCTTTCTTTAGCTTTTTGCCTAGAAAAAAAAGACAAGTTAATAAGTTTGAGTGTTATTTCTCACTTGGGATTTCAGTTCTGAAACATCACTGAACCTGGTCTACAGCTGTTTCTTGTGAAAGCTATTTTCTAATGCTCATAATTTCACTCAAGGGTGGTTTTATATGATAATCCAGTAAGAGCCAAAATCCCGTGATGTGTCAGAAATATATTCTTTTTTTTTTTTTATTATTTAGAGTGGATTGTGTGAAGACCTTTAATTATATTCACCAGTGTCAAGCACGTTACTGCTTTTTATACAAATGCTCACTACATATTCAAAAGAATGCCAAGAGCTTATTGCTCTCATGCATGTGAAGTGATCTTGAAGTGAAAGTGATTAACTGTCATTGTTGACACACCACAGCACACAACAAAATGGGTCCTTTACATTGAGCCTCTATGTCACAGCATGGGCAGTACCTTGCTCAGGGTACCTCAGTGGTACCTTGTTGGTTGGGAATTCGAACCTTTTGATCATGAACACGCTTCCCTAACCATTAGGCCACCTATCCAATCCCAACAGCTCATCCAGTAAAAGATCATGGGGGAGTCATAATGGAAAACAGAACTTGGTATATGCATTTTTGTGCTTTCTCCAGTCCAGAAAATCCCTGAATATTGAAGTAAATTAAACTAAGGCTTCAATTTTCAAACCACTACACTCACCTTTAGCTTCTGGTATGACAGCACGTTCCCCCTTGGCAGAGGTCCGGTTCTGAGACGATGTAGAGGGAAGCCTCTGTGTGAGGAACACCCCCGGAGCCATGGGCTGAGGGCCCCCCTGCACCTTGCCTGTGCCGGTCGTGTACTCATGGTCTGTCAGGCTACTGCTGTGAGAGTCCAGCAGAGGCTCAGAGAAGCAGCTCTCCTGGGAAACCTTCTCGGGTTCCACCAACGGTGGTGCCTTTTTTTTTGAGGCCTTCTTCTTCTTTTTCTTCTGTTCCTCCTGGCGACACAAGAACGCGAAGCTGAGGCAGTAATTTCCTGGGTACAGCGATAGACTCTGCCCTGGAGATTGACCTGACACTGCGCACTCAACGTGAGGTGAGGTTCACCACTATCACCAACGTCACTGCGTAGCTTCTGGCATGAAGACACCGTGTACATTTCCTTTCACTGTTCCTCGTCTTTGACAGCTGAAGGCCGAAAGTGGACACCAACCTGGTGGGAGAGCTTGGCTGCTGCTGCCGCAAGGCCTGTTTCTATGGAAGCCACCCGGGCCCCTTCTCGAACCGGCCTGTCCAGTCGAGGGCCCGAAGGGCCCACTCTAGCTACAAAGACACAATAAGGACTATGCAACACAACAACGCAAGACAGATACACTGACTGAACAGGTCAACATTAAAATGTGACTCAACAGCAATATTAAGCAGTTCTGTATCTATGATTTAGAACTTCTGCAATCTTAAAATTCTATTCTAATGGAAAATGTTACTCTCGCCTTACGCCTCTGTATCTTAATCGTTACATACCTGTGGGGCTGTAAGGAATGTCATCCGAACTTTTCCTTTTCTTTGATCTAGGCTTGAAAATAGGATTGTCGTCTTCGGACTCCAAAGAGGGGTAAACTGCAAAAGATGGTGACTTCATTAGAAAGCTTGTCTGTCTGCTGGTTTTTTCCAAGCCTGTTCCATTAGCCTAGAACGCGACATACACTCATTTTTAACAGCTGTAGTGGTTGAAGCAACATAAAATTCTATATAATCATCATTTAATTTAAAGAAAAAACGAAAATCAAATGCATGATGCTTACTGGACGCTTAGCATTAAGTCTAAATATTTTTAATTATCTAATTATTTTTAACACAAGTTGCATTATTACCGATTTGACTCGCAGTTATTAGAAAAAGAAAAAATAAGATTTGATTTATACTACATTCCCATTTGATTCTAAATATACAATTACACTAAATTAAATGTAGCACAAAAAGTTATTCAAAAACTTAAAAAAAAAAAACATTGTTCCCCTAACAAAATGCTAACAGCCGCGTGTTGGTTGAGTGTTTCTGGATTACATTCTGTTTAAGAGAAATGGTCATTTCTTCAATGTGGCTTTGAGGAGGACTGACAGCACAGGCCATAAACACAAACCCAATCATCTGGAAAACAAATGTGCCATATTGTTTAAATCAATTAAAAACGGAATGCACTTTTTGATGATACCGTGCCATCGTTTTAGCTGCACTGACTCACAATCCATCATAAAGCAAGCAGTCGCCTCTCCAACTTAGGACTCAGGTCAACTTGTTTGCCTTTCTTTTAAAATTAAAATTAACATGAGTAGGATAAAGACTTTGCAAGGGGGTTGGAATTCTTTACAGGAACAGCTAGGTCAGTGATCTCGGAGCTGGGAGCTGGCCCTCTCATGGGCACTAATCACGGGCCCTACCATAGTCAGAGTCCTTGAAGCAGGCATCCATGTGGTCCTGCTCATCATCAAACATCTCCAGGCTCTCCAGGCTGCTGCTCCTCCTCAGCGTCTTCTTCAGGAGTCGCTTGGCCGGCCGCTTGCTATTGCCGCCACTGCTACTTGCCAGCTTCTTGCCCAACAGCGTGTCGTGCAAGTTTCCTTTGGAGTGATTGTTGTTCCACGTTGTTTGTGGGCAGCTGTCTGAAGACGACAGGTTGGCCATGGAGAGCATGCCCTGGATGGCCTCCTGCGTGCTGGGGGATGCAGGTGGCTGACTGTAATTACGTTAATAAGAAATACACAACGCGCTCATTAAAAGTGGGAGTGAACACAGCCCGGCTTTGAAAAAGGACAACTGTTACCATGACAACCATAAAGTTTGCATAGCAGGCTAACTGCCAGCTGGGGACAAATACTCAGTGGCCACTTTATCAGGTACTCCTAGCCCACTCCTAGCCCACCACCTCCTAGCCCGTACCTGGTACCACCTACTTTTGCCCCCAGAACTGCTTCAAGACAAGTTGTACATTCAGAAAAATCATTTTAAAGGCCACTGTTGTACTGTTAGTCATACACTTATATCCATCCTGTCAGCTTCAAAAAGTCTGTCCATTCTCCTCTGACTTTTTATTGGAAGGGAATTTCTGTGACTGAATGCCATTGGCTGGATGTTTTTTTTTTTATTTAAAACGCAATTTCTGTGAAGTCAAGACACTGCTGTCTCTAAGAAGCTAATATCGTTAAGTTTGGCACCCACAATCAAAAGATTAAAATTACACAACATAAACCTCATACTCCAAAGAGTAACTGAACCTCTGAACCCAGTCTGCATGCTGGATGTATTCAGTTGCAACCACATGAGTCACTATTTGTGGAGTGGGTTGTGTACCTAATAAACTGGCCGTTGATGTAAGCAAACGGATTCTCATTAGACACACTGGTGCGTGTACATTCCTCTGAAACAATGGAAACTAGTTTTGTATAATTCTATCAAAATGGGAGCATGTGTCATTTAGACAGAAAATTTGTTTTGGATTTCCAGTTAAAAATTTGTTAATAATGACTGCGTTTTATTTTACATATACCCACATTTTTTTCTCTGTACAAGACTGCTAAAGAACTGTTTATTTGATTTTGCTACTATATTAGCAACTCTGAGGATGTATAAATATATAACTACAGTACTATTATTGGTATCATGGTTCTTAGTAGTGCTTCTGGTATGTTAAAAGATTGGCATTCAATAGGTATTCGACCCAAAATCTTACAAAACAGATCGGCATGATTTATTCTGCAGTAGGGTATAATGATTTGACTGCATACATGACAAAATCATTAGTGCTGTAATATATATCTCTGTTTAAATGATGATGTCACAACACATTCATATCCGTGACACATAATAATACATTATTAGCCTATTTGTATTACATGAAATATGAGTTACATCTAATGTTCTCCACTCACATTAATTCAGACTTAATTCCTAAATCTGTGACTGTACTGTAAAACATGCCCAGACGTGACAGTTTCCCCCACAATGAATAACATCCTTTGCTTAGTTGGACAGCTAGCTAAAACAATCCAAAGAAGTCGGCGTGTTCTAAGGAAACGGAGGGTGCGTGTAACAATAACTGCGAACTGCACCCTCGAAAAGACCCAAACGATCATTCAAAGTGCATTTCATCACTGGAAATGTCATTTTAATGTATTAGTCTTCAAAAAAACTTAAATATTGCAAATCACAATATTTTTATCCTTTGAGTTGTCTGGCAAGGTTTTTAAATGTTTTCTTCTTATAACCCACTTAACACAGTTTTCACAAAGATTCCGACCTTCATTTTCCAATTTGCATAGATTCTGTTTTTACCTAAGTTCAAATCCCACACTGAAGAGCAAACTCACGTACATTTGTGTGCTGAAACGTTTGCGCAAAATAATCGCTTATTGCATTTTCTTCAATTCCACTTGTATGATATTAGGGGATTTAAATTCCAATTATACTTTTATCATTTATAATATGTTTAAATAACTACAATTTTACTAATCAATGATAATTGTAATTAATAATATTATTATTTTAACTGAAATATTTAAATGAGTGATACCATCCCATGCTTCTTTTTGTGTTATTTTATATCCACTACGGCTCGCCTGCTGTTCACGTCCTGCAGCAGCACCTCCACTTCAGAACTTCAGTACTGAAGTTGTTCTTAAGTTTGGATTCCGGTGCACCACTGTCTTTAGATTTTCGTTTGGGCATTTTTGACTTCTCTCTCATCTTTACTTCTTAAAGTCTTTGTGTGATTTCTGTGTGTGCACATGGTCATACAGTCTCATGTCCGTTTATGGGGACTGGAGGGGCATTTACCTATGCAAATTAGGCACACGCTTTCAATTTAAAATTGAATGGAATGGAATTCATCATTTTAAAAACACATTTGCAAACAATTCTGCGATTTAAGAAAACGTGAATCTGATGCAGACTTTTCTTGGAGCCCTCTTAGGACCTTTCTCAAGAATCTTTCTTAAGAATAAAAGAATGATATTGGTGAATGAGGTGCAATGTTTTCATTTTGGCTGTGAATTCTGGGACTCTGTACAAGATCATGACCAAAGCTCTCGTGTTGTTTACAACCAGGAAGAAATTCTATAGGTCTCTATTAAAAACGTCCCTTCAAAATACCAGAAGCATTAACCCAATCAAAGAAATAATGCACTATTACTTTAGAATGAACACTAATGCTTTAACACATCAACTGTGGACAGCCCTATTTTTTTAAAATACTAAAATCATAATTTTGGGATTTGCCATGAATTTTTCTTACCGTTGCAGTCCTATTCTGCAGACTGCAGTGGCAGTCTACTGCAGACTGCAGTGGCAGTCTACTGCCATTAAAGATTTCTTTCTGATAAATGTAGGTTCTAGGAAAAAAAGCAATGTTGTATTAGCCATACCTGTCTGCATTGTAATCCACTCCTCCTACTTGCTTGCTTGCCTGCAAAAGATCCAGAATCCCTGCTGCAGTGCTACTTTCCTTCTTGCCCTTTGAGATTCGACCTTTGACCTCGGGTTTGCCTTTTATGTCTATGTGGAGTGATTCATCATCTGACGAGTCATCTGGCTTTTATGGAAAATTGTTATTGGCAGGTTGCAGATGGATATATAAACTGGTAAACATATATAAAACTGGCTTATTGTTCATATTTCCAGTAGCGCAAAGCTTATTTAAATTAAAACATCTTAATAAAAAGTTAAACCTTAGTTGCTACTTCACTTTTAAATACAGGATAATGACTATGAAAAGTATTCAAGTGTGTATGAAAGCTATTAAAATTTCTGATCTATCGCAAATGTTTATGCTTCAAATGGAAATGGGCTTTACAAATCTAGTAGAATCTGGCAAAACACTTTAAAAGGCATCTATAGCCACTCTGCATGAACAAATAAAGCCAAACGCTATAAATAAATATTTACCACTGATATTTGGTTTATATTAGCATTAACATGTCTCTAAGAAACTCAAGAATGAATCAACTTCAGTGAGCCAGTTATTCATTTCTATAATCATTATGTGGTGTGTCTCATGTTTGAACATTTCCTTATGCGATTAGCTTAAAATGTGGTTTTCAGCCTATAAGAGAGAAGTTGAAATGGCAATCAACGTATTCGAAAACTGCATAGTCCCCATTATAAAAATGACCTATAGAGGAGCTGATTCAAATGAAGGGTTTAGTGACCTGTTGTTCAGGACTAAAGATAAACACACCAAGGATCAAACGCATTACGCCTTAGATACTGCAACAAATGTTTTGCAAAGGATGCCAAAGACAATGGAATTAATCAGATTATACTTGTTCAATGGGAACACAGACAAACAATGCTAAAGTACTTATCAGAATATGGGTAAATAAACATATTAAATACTACAACAGACAATTAAGACAATACATAGAAAATGAAGCTATTTCACCTACCTTGCCAATTTTCTTCTGAATCTTTGGCTTTTTAGACTGTGGAATAGGTTCTTTAACATCTGTTAAAACTAAAAAGATACAACATATTTCATATTACGCTAAACAGACAAAAAACTAGTAATATAAATAATTTGAGGATGGCATGGTGGGTTAGTGGGTGACACTGTTGCCTAACAGCCCCCATGGTTGGAAGTTGAATTCCCACCCCATCTCCACAGGTGCAAGATGTGCGAATCTGCATCTATGTGCCCTGCAATGGAGTTGAATCACAACCATGTTGCACCCCTGCTTCCAGTCTCCAGTGTTTAGAAGATGGATGAATGGAAATATGAAACCAATCTGGGTATCTGATTGAGCCAGATAAAGTTACAGTAACATTTAACTTGATACTAGCTACTAGATGTGGCTGAATGAGCATTCAAATGCACTGATTGTACACAGATCTTACAGTTGAGTATGACACAAGGCAAGAAGGCCTTTTGGGTGATTCATGTTGTACAGACTCACGGGATAAGGGCTTTTTGGTGGGGCTCTTTTTCCTCCTCATAGGGAAGATATCGATCTTCAGCTCTCCCTCATCTGAAACATACTCATACTCGTCTCGTACTGGCTTGGCCTTGCCTTCCTTGAAGTTATGCAAGGACTCAAACTCAGATGTGCTGGTCTGGGTTTTGAGGCTTTTAGAGCTTTGCAGAAAAAAAACAAAACAAAAAAATAAGAAAATGGAAAACAAAAACATACACTTATGACTTGGGATCAGGAATATCAGGCACAAAGACGCCAAATTAAAGAGCTTGAATAGCATATATGTATATTAATGTCTTGTATATACTATATATGTATATACTACATCCCACGTTATAATATTTTATACATCTCTGTCATTGCATAGTACATCACAGCTCAAAGTGCTACTCAACACAGTTACATACCTTAACGTTTTTTTATTTGAAAATGAAAAGCCATATTTGTCTTTATTTCCTGACAAAAGTGACTTCTTGTGTTCCTCCATTCTCAGCAAAGAATCGGGCTTGCTGTTCTGAAATAATAATAAAAAACGCTGTAAAATATAGTTTTTAACTTTTTTAAATGTCAACATACTGAAAGACAGTTTAAGTTTACCAAGCAATATATACCGATCAGCCATAACATGAAAACCACCTGCCTAACAGTGTGTAGGTCCCCCTTGTGCTGCAAAGCAGCTCTGACCTGTCAAGGCATGGACTCCACAAGACCTCTGAAGGTGTCCTGTGGTATCTGGCACCAAGACGTTAGCAGCAGATCCTTTAAGTCTTATAAGTTGCGAGGTGGTGCCTCCATGGATCGGACTTGTTTGTCCAAAACGCCCCACAGATGCTTGATGATTGCGATCTGGGGAATTTGGATGCCAAGTCAACATCTTGAACTCCTCAACCTCAACCATTCCTGTACAATTTTTACAGTGTGGAAGGGCGGATTATCCTGTTGAAAGTGGCCACTGCCATCAGGAAATACCGTTGCCCTGAAGGGGTGTACTTGATCTGCAACACATGCCCACTGGTTGTTGGTTTGCAACACATGCCCATTGTAGACACAAGCAGTGGACAGGGGTCAGAATGAGCACACTGACCAGTCTGCGGCTAAGTAGCCCCAAACGCAGCAATCTGCAATCCGCTGTGCGTTATGACACATTTCTATCATTACTATTCCATGCTAGAATCTGGGCTTATTCGTGACTGACGGTGCCAGCGTGTGTGTTCATGCGCACTGGGCTTGTGGGGACCAGTGTTATCATAAACTAAAGCTGAAATGAAAATGGACAATACATTTAAAATATAATTTGCGAACTGAAATAAAAATGAAAACTACACCAAAAAAAGTGTCGGATTTTAAACTTCAAAAAGTACAGCCACGTCTTTTTAGATTGTTGAACCACACTGTCTCACCTCCTATAAAACATGTTGTGACTGTTCCACTGTCCCTTTCTTCACTGTGACTGTTCAGCTGTCCCTTTCTTCACTGTGTCTGTTCAGCTGTCCCTTTCTTAACTGTGACTGTTCAGCTGTCCCTTTCTTCACTGTGACTGTTCAGCTGTCCCTTTCTTCACTGTGACTGTTCAGCTGTCCCTTTCTTCACTGTGACTTCAGCTGTCCCTTTCTTCAGTGACTGTTCAGCTGTCCCTTTCTTCACTGTGTCTTCAGCTGTCCCTTTCTTCACTGTGACTTCAGCTGTCCCTTTCTTCACTGTGACTGTTCAGCTGTCCCTTTCTTCACTGTGTCTGCTCAGCTGTCCCTTTCTTCACTGTCACTTATTACTTACATGGTATTTCAAAACAGTCACATGGTGCCTGCTCCACTAACCAAATTTAATAAACACAAGGATACACTGAATTTATACAGATGACTAACTTTTGGGCATCACAATAATGTTTTAGGTGTACTACTAATATACTTTTAGAATTGTAGGTGTAAGTAAAGGCCATATAGTCTGAAAAAGCAGCCGTTCATTATCTAAAGCGCTGCAGAGACATACAGTTTATTGTTGTGAAAATAAAATTAACTTAAATGACATCGTAAATATGATTTTCTGGAGGAAAATTTGTTCTTTAGATTAAATCAACCAATCGCTAAAATAGTCGATAGATTTCTTGACAGAAAAATAGTCATTAGTAGCAGACCTACACTCAGATCCTCACGCTTGTCCATTTTTCCCACTTCCAACACATCAGCTTCAAGAAGAGACTGTTTCCTTGTATGATGCATAATTGCGCCCTTGACAGGTGCCACTGTACCAAGATAATCAAAGCTATTCACCTCACCTGTCAGTGATTTTAATGATATGGCTGATCGGTGTACAATCTCACATCAAGTCAGCACCCTGTGGTGTTTTACTGTCATTTCTTTCATATGTCACGTCATCATTTTTAAAGCATTTTACAGTAATATATTGCATTCAGCATTCACATGTTGATCAGGACCAGCTGACTCACCTTGTATTTCCATTTTGCTTCCGTTTTGTTCTTGTTCTGCTCTCGCATTTCAGACACACTTTGCACATTATCTTTCTTACTCAAACTGTCTCTCCCCGTAGATTCTGATCCATTCTTTACAGCCTGTTCATTGAGAATACAAAGGGAAAAAAATCTGCCTGTGATAAAGCATAATAATCAAAAGATTTAGAAGACAATATGGACAAGAAATAAACACCATAAAATCACATTTAACAACTTTACAAATCTATCATGGTTAAACCATCCCAAGAATCTCCCACATCTTTTGCTGACTGATACTGTTAGAACTTCCTTAATTCAAGCTCAAAAGGAACATCAGTAAGATCCACCTACCTTCTCTTTGTCATCTGACTCCTGGCAAGGTGAGCTGGGCATTTTGGCCAAGCTCACACCCTCTTTCATCTTCTTCCCTCTTTTCTTCCCCTCATCCTTTACTTTGGGAATCTTTGGCGGCTTTGGGGGCTTGGCCATTTTGGTGCCCCTCTTCCTGGGCAGCTTCTCCCTGGGAGGTGAGGGAACATGGGCAGGAGATAAGGGCTCCTCTGGTTCAGCTGGTGGGGCAGGGGCCTCCTCCATAGATGTGTTGGCAACAGGCTCTTCCTTGGTGCCTTTCATTGCATTCTTCAGAAGTTCAAAGAAGGAGAAATATTATAAAAAAAAAAAGTTTTTTTTTCAGTCCCAAACACCAATATCACCCCCCTTCCAACCACCATCAAAGTTTAAAATATTTCTGGTGAAAGAGGAGGCAAGTAGATAATGCAAAATATGTCCATATGATCAAATACGTAGTAATAATCAAGTTTATACAAGTTAGTTCTGACCAAGAAATCTGAATTGAGAAGAGGCGTTCTACGACTGCTGTTTCAGAGTATAAGCACACTCAGACATTTCACATCAGATGTATCACTCCGCTTTACAGGTATATCTAAGAACCATTACTTAGTCAAATTTAAATGATGCAAAGTAGTTGGGAGCGAGTGAGCTATGCTGCATGGGAATATTTGTGTTGCTTGGCAACAGTCAACAGTTGGCTGGTGGAAACCATTTTTTGTTTTTGAGGAGGCCCATAAATAATCAAGTAAGCTATTATCTGTCGTGGCTTATTACTGTTACCTTATAAATGCTACTCGAACTTTGTATAAAAGCAATAACGTACTGCAAGTTGTATGGTTGTACTCCAATATATCACGATTTGGTGATTTGTTCTTAGGCATGAGAACACAGGCTCATATAATCACAGCCGTAATATATTGCAGTACAACTGCACTCCTTCTTGTATGTTATTGCTTAATTATAAAATGGATTCGTGATTTAAAAGGTTCACTTCTCTGGAAAGAAAGACATATACTTGAGAATGATCTTTAATATGAATCACAGATGTACAACTACACGCACCAATAAAATACATCTGAGAGGAATGAAAACTGAATATAAACTGTATACTAAGAAACGTTAATGCATTCGTGTTGTAATGTGCTAAGGTGACACATATTCCTCAAAAACAGAAACATAATTCTACAGAAACAAATGATGCCATACCTCTGATAACCTGATCTCTTTGGCAAGGTCTTTGATAAGCTGTGCCGGCTTCATATTCTCTGGAAGTTCATCCTCATGTTCTAGAAGAGCCTTTAACAAATAACATTGATATGTCTTAATATCTGCAGATATTTTTGAGGACTAGACGAGTTATTTACGACCTAATGTGGAGTAATATAATCGACATTCCTTCCTTCAATTTTCTATAAACATGTGCCCAAGATCATGGAAAGCATTCGAGAGGATACACAATGCACTGTGCTATGTTGGCCCAGAAAGGGAAAAAACACAAGACACTGGAAAAAAATCACCACACACACAAGTAGATACAAAAGAAAAACACAAAAATTAAAACACTGAGAAAGAAATAAAATATTTTTTGTGTGTGTATCTTCTTGATCTTTTTTTGACAATTGTTTAATTGTTTTCTTTTTCATGTCTTTCCAAAATGTTACTGTGTTCTCTTAATGTGCTTTGCATGGCATGAATAAAAGCTCTCCAGGCCGCAAGGGGGCAGTATATATATTTGAATTTGGTGATCAGTGGTCATAGTTCACACACCACAGCACACAGTGCACAACAACGATATGTGTCCTCTGCATTTAACCCATATGTGACAATGTGACATAGCAGGGGGCAGCTAATTCAGTGCCCGGGGAGCAGTGCTTGGGGGCGGTACCTTGCTCAGGGTACCTCAGTGGTGCCTTGCTGGTCGGGGATTCGAACCTGCAATCTTTCAATTACAAGTGTGCTTCCCTAAACATTAAGCCACCACTGCCCATAATAATGATAATCAGCATTTTATCAGCTAATAATTTTATACATTTTTAGCTGTAGATGATAGTCATATTAAACTGATTCAAACGACATCAAAAAGTACTGCATAGCCTAGCTAAGGATTTTTTGGTCAAGTGGGTGAAATTCAAGTCCATTCGGGGTCCATATCAGTTTTACCTTGATAGACCACAAATCAAAATCCCATGAAGCCACCAACATAAAACTTTTTGCATTGGTTAACCCGCACATGCTAGCTAAATGGAATGAACTCTTTCAAGTGTGGCAACTCACAGCTAACATAATACACCCTTCCAAACTTACAGTGGAGGCCAACCAACTAGCTAAACTTAAAGATGTAAATAGTTCCATTCTTTATAAAAGTTAAATTTGCGTGATAACCCGAGGTATATCCCCCTGTGGCCAGGAGTTTTCTCGCATCAGCCACCCCTAAAGTACAAAGGAGGAGGTTTCGTGTTTTACATTTTTCTCTTAATATGAGCCCACCTCCTCTGCCACTTATAGTAATTCTTTGAAATTATGGAATTTCAGCTTCAATCTGAAATTGTTTTTAATAATATATCACTTTTTAGTATTAGTATGAGCAACTTTTAAAAAATCACTTAAGTTTTTGCCCTTCTAAAATGAACAGATAAAGGTTTAACAATCAAATCTGGGTGTTCGAGTGTATTTCCTTTGTTTATCTTCTAGCTTCAGGCAATTTGTGATTCAATATTTTCTTCTAAATAGAACCTTAGGTTGAAAATTTTCAATTACCTTGAAAATCTTCAGCCATTCACAGGATAGATGTATTCATACAAATACCCACATTACAAAAGCAGCTGCGATGTTAAAGAATTTTAATTGATTTATATAAAAAATTACCAGCTTTCTAGTCCATGATCTGAAGGCCGCATTGAGGATTTTGGCACCAAGAATCAGATACGAAGCTGGTTCCTTATTAGATCTGTGCAAGCCTGCAAAAGTGAAAATGAGCACTACTGACAATGCAACAATTAAACAATTATTCCAAATCATGAACAAATCAGCTACCAAGCTGACCAGCATCTCAAAGCATCTTCAACTCTAAATACGTGTAGGTGTTTGATATGCAGGGTGAACCTGCAGAACGACTGTGCAGATCCATCCCATGGTGAGTCTGCGACTCTTCTCTTCCGCTGTACCTTTGAATCTCTCCAGCAGATGGCGCCCCACATACCAGCAGGCGGTCTCAAAGTTTGGGAATGGAGTGAGGCTGGCCACCTTCAGTCGCTTCTCCACTTCATATGCTCTGAGGACGGTAGAAGGTAATCGTTAGCAAAAAGCTAACCGGGTGTAGAAGCACTTGGGATGAAGAGACAAACCTCACATCGTTTCATGGAATACATGCATTTTACACTTTACACTTTACATCCTTAGACTTATAGTAACGCAGATGAAATATCCAGCGGTATATGACTTGTTAGTTTTCTGGAAGAAATTATCAGTTTAGTAAGACAATAATATTAATAAAGTAAAAAAGATCTAATTTGCATCTGTATACTTACCTCATTTGCATCTCTACACTGAGGTTGTGGACAAAGTGGCCTGAGAAAGCTAGACAGTCAACAGGGGCCAGTATTGCATTAATCCACCCTGAATGAGTCAAGAAAACATCAAAACAGATTAAAATATTAACATGCCAGTCACCTTTCTGCAACCAATAAAAACGCCCCTCAGTTATTTGTGTATAGTTATTTAAAAAAAAACACTATTCATTTTAACATGGTAATGTTTTAACAAGGTAACATTGTTTCCTAAAAATCATGTAACTTTTACATTAAGATCATTTTACGTTGTACTTTACACTGAAATGAAGATTGCAAGGTCACCCTAACCTGATGGTATGAAGAGAGTCTGGCCCTGCTTCAGAATGCATTTGTAGCATTTGTCTACTTGGTCCGCAAAGAACATCTCACTGTAACTGGATGAAGACCTCCAGCGTTCATATAAAGACAAGTTGGCAGAGGTGGGCTTGATTAAGAAGAAGATCTTCTCGCCCTGAAAGGAAAGTGTGATACCTATCAGTGCTTCAACACCCATCAAACCTTACAATACCCCCAAAAACAGATTCCTAAAACCTGCCCCAGGGATTGTTTGATGCCGATTTCCCAACTGTGCTTTGCTCTGGATAAAAGTGACTGCTAAATTAATAAATCTAAATGTAAATGAACCATTCTCAACAAGTGAAAACGCCACTTACTTTGAGGACATGGTACCAGACAGATGCCCCACCACACTCTATGTGGAAGTCAGTGTAACTGTCCTTCACGCACATCAGACAGTACTTGGTCACTTGAGGTTTGCCCAGAAGTGCATCATTTGGCCAGTAGTTCTCAACCCAAGAAAGCTTCCGCACAATTTGTGGACTTTCCACAAAGCTTGCCATTCTGTTTCAGAGAAGAGAGTTTTTGACTCAGTGTATCGTCTTGCATTGTCATAAATTCCAACTGAAAAATGTGAAAGTCAAAATTTGAAAGACTTAAAAAATATGCATTATATATAAAGCGTATGAAGGCAGATGCAGCTGGATCCCTGTTTATAAAAAGAGTGTCTTAGAGAGCATTACCTTGTTTCCGAAAATTCCAAATTGATCACGTTTAATACTCGCTTTCGGTTTGTGCTGTAGTAGTAATCAACAAACTCCTTAAGTTTCATCTGGTTGTTTGTCTGTTTGGTGACATCGACAACATCCACAACAAACTCTGGACCTAATAAGTCCAAAACAAATCATGAAAAAAATAACCAAATATAAAAGAGAAACTCCTGAAGATAACAAAATAAAACAATCATATAAAATACTGCGTATACGCCAACATACAGCTGGATAAAGAGTTTCGGAGTATCCTACTGTCACTCACCTGCATAGTTTTCTACATCACTGATGTAGAACGTTGGTGCTGGCATCGACATCCCGAGTCCATCTTTCTTTGCAACCAAAATCGGTTCTGTAAACCCATTCTCCTCCAGATAGTCCAAGGTTAGCTGACTTCCACTCAGCTTCACCACCACATCATCAGAACTGAAATAAAAATGATACAAGGTTTTCTTCAATATTTTGCATACTGAAGATTTACATACAAGCCTTGCCACAGACAGAGAGGTTGACGATCCCCCTACTCATAACGTAACCTGTCACAGCTACCACTTTCATTTCCAGTTACTACAAAAGGTATTCTGACAGAAACATACATATTTAAATGTTCTATGCCAGATTTTTCCTCTCCTTTCTGAAAGCATATTGGACTATCGGATGATGCATCAGATCCCCATATTGGTGCGGCTCAGTAATGTGGGAAAGACTGACCTTTAAAAAAATCCTTCAACCAGGTTAAAAACTTGTTCTACATGGGGTTAAGAGCGAGAGGGTTTGTCATCTGGAGTAATAAAAAGGTGATCCATCTCCCTACCATACTGGGTGAATTAATCCATCTCCCTACCATACTGGGTGAATTAATCCATCTCCCTACCATACTGGGTGAATTAATCCATCTCCCTACCATACTGGGTGAATTAAGGAAAGCTTAGGAATTATGAGCAATGAAATCATGCTTCATGGAAAAGCCTTGGATTAGAGTTTTCTGCTGTTTATCAACTAAATTTTCCACCTGCTCACAGAAAGTCAAATTACGTTGGCTGGAATCAGAAGCTTTCATCTACTGATCCCAAACAGGCAACAGATAGCAGGAAAACTCAGAATGTGTTTTCACTCTCTCTCTCACACACACACACACACACACAAAGTTGAACAGAGGGATGGGTCAGTGGGGTGGTGGCCCCCCCTGTGTTCACTTCCCCCCGCCCTGATCTCTCCCACTCCGGGCTGGACTAACCTGCATGATCTGCTTCTTTTACTGCGTCACACCAGATTAGCACTTTCTCTCTCACTCAGACAGACCAAAAGGGGGGAAAAAACAAGCAAACAAATTCCATCTTAGAATAGGGGTAGCATGACATGCAGGGTGTGGTCTGCCTGGGGTAGGGCCCTCATGGGGGGGCTGTCCTGGGGGCTGTCCTGGGGGCTGCCACACCTCTCCCTCTCTACCTCTTCACAGAACACACTGGGCCTGGTCTGCCTTGGTCGACCAAACAACCTTCCTCCAATCAATCTTCCCTTTGCTCCTACCTCTCCTTTCTTCCATCTCGACCTCCCAATGTATGGCTTTTATCTTCTCCAACACACAAAAAGACACACACAGACACACACACTCAACACATGCCCACCACTAAGGGGAACAGATAGTATGCCCTCTCAACAGTCTACATATAAACCAGATGGAACTCTGATTGTATTTTGAGTTGATTTTATTTTTCTTTCTTCTTGTTCTTTCCTTTACAATGATTTACTGTCACCTAGTTGTATGCTTTTTGACCCTCCAATATGGCCTGCTTAGTCAGAGCATTGTTTAAAATGATATTTTGAAATGCATTTGCACATTTCAATAATAAGAAACAATTCAATAAACAAAAGTCAAACAAAAAAACACCTGCGTACCTTGGGAAGGTTCTACTTCGGAGCTCCTTTATGAACACCTGACTGCCGTTCTGAACTGGTCTGACATCTCCGCTTTGTCCAGTGTCCTGTTTATTCCAGGTCTTTTTCTTCTTCACTGAGGGAGCCCCAATAAAGACAACCAGTAAAGTGTTAATTACACAAAACAAGACTCAAAGTATTATTTGTCAACATAATGACCTGTGCTGGACTTTTGGTTAAACCTCTAAGGCACTACATTCCATCAGAAGATAAGTCATTGTATCTGTGCTGTTATTTATTTTACAAATGTACTCGTTTATTTTTCGTTTCAGGCCCTATTAGCTGTACTGATTGAACACCTACAATGTAGGGTAAGAGCACAAAAACAATTCAAAGCCCACACTTAATGCAATATAAAATGTTAATGACAGGAAAATGAGAAACTCAAACATGAGCACTCAACAGCCTATCACATCACAGAAATATTATTCCAACCAATCATATAGTAGTCTTTTAAGATCAGACAAATGTACAGCAGGTTGGTTAAGTTAGCGGATTTGGTAATATACTGAATATGAGGGAGAAAGTTCACGTGTCTGTAAAGAAAATGACAATTCAGCAGCCACAGCATCTTAACAAAAGAGAGATTTTGTGAATAACAAAAGGAAAAAGACACTGAAGGGGTGGGGGTACATTGGCGAGTTAAAATCCAACGAACAGACTGGTGCTGTGTCCTGTAACTCTGCCGAAAATGACGCCAACTAAAACTGGAAATACTAACTTATTTCACCACCTAAAGCATTTCCAACTTGTAGAACATGAAAAATGCAAGAGTTTACAGTAACAAATTCAATGTCAACCCCCCCCCACCCCCACCCCCAGAACGAGGAGAGGCAGTCAGAGAAAAACAACAAATCCTGTACTGTCAGCATTTTCTAGTGTTACATCCGACGACAAAAAAAGTTTATTTTTATACGAATTTTTTTATTTGAATTGGATTCCTTTTTGCAGTACGTTCAATTTGTGGTCATTTTTCATGTTATGAATCTGCTTTACGGGAATCTTAAGGGAATTTTAAGCAAAACTGGACCCTTAAAGTAAACTAATAATGATTTGAATTAGATTGTGATATCAACTTAAATGAAGAAATGCTATTGTATCTGTTATATTATATTACTGTTCAGGAAAGGAAAATATTATGAAAGGTGTGGGAAAAAATGGGCACTATGGCATATGTAAAAACTACTGTTACTGGGCATTTAATCAGACTGTTTTTCATCCGCATAGCTAATTTAAAAAAATAAAAGTTTAAAATGTTAGGCCATTTCAGTCAATATATATTTGGAAAGGACCCATGGGTAAGTATAGAGCTCATCTTAAGAAGTTTGGTGCAGAGCAGAGGTCGATAGTTCAGGTCCAGAAAGTCAAAATCCAGACCAAGATTTTGTTTCAGCCAACCAGTTGAGTACTCTGTGACTGTGACTCTTTATGCTTAACTGGTTGGTTGAAACAAAATCCTGGCGTGGAGTTTTACCTCAGGAAACAGAATTAACCAAAATTAGCAGCAGAACTTAACCTAAAACAATATAAGAAGAGTGTGATACAAATGAGTAGAAAAACAGTTTGTTATTAATGCTCAGAAAAAGTGCTTTCTGTGATGGTGGATTCCGCTCAGTGAACTTACAGGTGGACTTGCCATGCTGAGTCTCACAGTTGGGACAGTGGTAGACATCAATGTCGGGAGCCTCATCCTCATCCACCCCAACACAGCTGAAAGAGACAAAAATTAGCTTAATAAACATACTCCATCAAGGTGTGCCTATAGTATTCTTCCAACATTAGCTGACTTACTGTTGAGTGAAATTCATAAACAACAATTAGCATTTGTACGATAAAAAAAAACAAAAAAAAAAATCAGGCAAATTTTAATGTAATGTTCTCTCTGCCAAGGGAACTATATTATTTGTTCAGCAAAGCCCACTCAATATATGGACAAAAAACATAAGATTTTTTTCTCCTGCGTAAACAGGGTAGTCCAAGTTTTGTTGGCCTATACCAGTAGCACCAAAATAAAAACCATGTGTTTATAATATCAGCAGAATTTAGCAGAGAGAAATATTTGCAAGGTAAGTTTCGGATTTAAAAAAGGCACTGGTATGTTTCAGTCCCATGGAAGTGTGAAATGATGGATGGAGCCTAAAATCTGCAGACTTACCACGAGCTGCATGGACAACTAGCTCATTAATTAACTCTGACACTGACCACAGTTGAGATCTCACATTTAGAGGGGTGGGGTCATTTTTTTCCACTAACTAGGAAAATTTTGGTCCTGTTTCTGCTCCTTCCATTGTCACCCATATTATGAACCATTTAGCATGCAAAAAATAATAACGTAATGCCACACATTCTTATTGAGTGCTTTCAGGCAACTGTGTTGTGGAAGGCAATATACAAAAATTTATTGAATATGCATTTCATGACTTGATTTAAAACCAAGATTTAAAAAGCAAGCTGTGGTTTTTTAGCTAAGCAGTTAAAAAAAATCCAACATTAGTAGGTGTTTTCATTAGAGAAAATTATATCCATATAATTACCACTTACAATTATTGTACGTTATAACACGGATAATAGCAAAAATTTATTTCAAAAAGGGATTTTTTTCACTTCCAAAGTACCAGCTATTTTACTAAACTCTTAAAGTAGAGTCAAATGGCACCTATTGCAGTATCAATACAAAGGAAAAAACATGTCAGCTCCTTCTTAGAAGGTAACAGTTCCGTATAAGATCCAGTTCAGCCAATGAGGGTGAGCTCTGCTTTTCCAAATCGAAAGGCCACGATATGGATATTCCCTCCATTTTTCCAAAGTTCTCATATAAAAACTTTATGTGTATTTCTGAGGCAGCTTCTGGAGCAACAGAACCGATGTGCTTCCCCTCCGGGCACTGCACACTGCACACTGCACAGTGCCAGTGATGTCCCCAGGGTCTGTGACTCAAAAGTGCCTTTGACCCACCCTGCACATACAGAAAAATGCTCTGGCAATTCTCAGAGCTGCAGCTGCAGTCATAAACAAAAAGCAAAAACAGATTCCTGCCATTTGGGGCAGCCGATCCCCGACGCCGAGCTCTGCGCGGGACACAGGCCTAGGAGCCCGAAGCGTGGGGGTCACTCTGGGGCGCTGCGACAAACTTGTCAACATCATGAATAAACCTCTTTCACAGAGAACAGTTGGGTTATGCCGTCATCTGCAGCATGAATCGCTCGGCTGACACAGGTGGTCAGTGGGTAGTTTTATCAACTCACACCTCCAAGGTTGTGTCTGCATGTGTGTAGTTTCATATTTTTCTTATACTGAATTAGGTTTCCTCAGGGTACTAAAGTTCGCTCAAGTCCAAAAATTTTTTCAAGGGTTTCAGTACAAAAGAAATAAATACATTTTGGTCTCTCAGCCAGGATGAACGGCGTTTTACCCTATCTTTTCTGGTAATGACTCAAGATCACAGAAGACCATAACTGTGCATATCTAAACTGAATTTATACATTCAGAAATGTAGAATCATAACCATGCCCTCCCTAAAATGAAAGCTCCAGTAATTTCAGGAGAGGCCTGCATACATTTCTTCATTTATGAACACAGTCAAAAGTACTGGTGCTCCTCCACTATTTAAAAAAGAAACTAATTTTCCATTAAATAAGCTGAAACTGACAAGAGTAATTGACATCCAACATTCATCATTCTACAGAGCATATACTTTGCTTTGATTTATAACTTAACATTTTTTTTAAATTAAAACAAATTTAAAAAAATAAATAAAAATCAACAAAATTATTTTGACCTCTAACGTAATATTTCCTAGCATACCCTCTTGAGGCATTAACTGCATTCAGGTACTTTCCATAGCTTTCTATGAGAATTCCACACTTCTCCACTGGTAACTTGACCCACTCCTCTTAAGCATACTACACTAGTCCTCTTAGGTTTGAAGAGCTGCTTCTCCCAACTATGAGTTTTAGCTCTTTCCATAGATGTTCAATTGAACCACATGGCTGCTGTGACTTACCAAAAACCTCTAATTATGTTTCATCTGTCTAAACTGCGGCTTATCAACATGAATTTCAACAAACACCAGTCAGACTTTTTTGTGTCAGTGTTTCAGAAATAGTCTTCCGGGATCTTCTACAATGACACAGTTCAGTGCGTACTTTTCTCCATTCAAATTGGCTAAGTGACTGATTACAAAACTGCAGACACCTGTGAGACACCACTTGCGATATAACGGCAATCAATTTCTTTTAACTTGTTAGGACTCCCAATAATTTTGTCCATGCCATTTCGCATTTATTTACAATACTGTGTTAAGTCATAAATGAAAAAGTTTCTGCTCTGTGGAAAAAGGAGTAAGCAATGGGGGATGCCAATTACATTTATCAGTTTCAAATTATTTTGCAGAAAATTATGATTCTTTTTTTAGAAAGTGGACGGGTACCAATACTTTTCGCCAGGTCTGTATGAGTTCTTTTGGCGTGTCTGTTCAGTATCATTAATAAAGTTTCTGCTTTAGATTTATTAAGTATTAAAACACCAGTGCATTGTTCGGCTTTCTTAATTTGATGGGTGTTTCTGTAATTAGTAAAACTGACATTCCTTGTCATGAACATTATATTCTCATTAAAACCCACTCATGCTCAATTAACCTCCAACTTCAACATCTTCCACCACATATGACTCATGGCCTACATCCATAACCGTAATGTCTTAATGGATAGAGTCTCTAGTGCTGCAGCGTTACCCCGACGTGGGGCGTTGGGAGCTGGCTCATGACATTTCTTGTATTCATGCTAATATTCGTTAGAACAGAGGTTGTCAAACTCCAGTGCTGGGGGGCCGGAGCCCCGCACAGTTTTTGGTTTCCCCTCATTTAATACACCTGATTCAACTCCTTGTGCTAATTACCACACAACTCCTGAGCTGAATCATTTGTGATGGAACAGGGAAAGAACTAAGCTACACAGGGCTCCGGCCCCCTAGGACTGGAGATTGACACCCCTGCATTAGAATATCACAATATGTACCTCCAAGCATGCAATGTGGAAGCAGCCAGTACTTTTGTTTCTTTTTTGTCATTATATCTTGGTTGGTTAATAACACTAGACTCATAAATGACTGTGACATACTGTAGGAGAGACTCCTGGAAATATCTTTTTTCTGCCTAGAACCTGTGAGTTTTGAATTAGTTGATTATGACTAGTCAGTGTTTCACAAAGAGTTTCACTCTTTAGTATATGTGGGTTATTCTACGTTAATTCAACAACAGGCCTTTGCATTACCATTTTTGATTTTTATTAAATTTGGCATGTGAATTACGCTTACATTCCAGAGCTCAGATTTATTTTTTTCTTATGCGCTGTAACTTTTTTTGTTAGCTTTTAACTGTACCAAGGTCAAAGTTCATCACACAGACTTTTTCGTACATTTGGTCATTTAAAAAAACAGCGATGGACCTACAGTCACAAGTCACAATTTTTTATGATACATATGGATGCTTACTACTTGTATATAAAATAATGACCTGTTACTTGGTCTGCTGTGTGAGATAAGCACCCAAAATGCTCTGAACTTCACTGAAAATCGCTGAAACAATCACAGTAATCTCACTCTCTTTTAATCCGCTTACTTCTTAAAAATAACCTAAAGTGGACGTGAAGTGTACAGAAAGTGTAGCCAATGTGCGTAAAGTGTTTGGGGGACTTTCCAGACAACTTTTCCTTTAGTCCTGCCACATGAAGTCCAGGCGTAGCATTGGTTAGGTTTGCAGGCCATGTGACACCCGGTTATTGTCTCCTGGTAGAGAGAAGAGGAGATCCCAACCACAGTTTCTGGTTCATCACTGACATCCCATGATCACACCACCACGTTCTATGCTTTCCAGCAAATCCTCATTGATAAGCTGATCTGCACAAGCACAGATATGAAAATACCCATAACCCACCTGGTCAGCACATGCTGAGAATTCCTCATATCACAGCACCGTAATAAATTAAATCCATTCTTGTACTGACATTTGAATCATATGCCCCTCCGAATTTAAATGAATCAATGCACATAGTCTGAAAGAATTAGACATTAGCATGTAACTCAAAATCTGAAATGACAGACAGGCCACTGCATCAATTTGATTAGTGTACATAACAAGCTTGGTATATATATGGTCTGCACAAGGCCTTGGTATCTGTATGAAAGCACAAGGATGAGGATAATTTCAATGGAAAGTAAATGTTTGTGACCTGTCAAAATCTTTTCTCATCATCCAACTCCACGGAGAACACAATATGTCTATAGATAGATGGAGACAAGCTACCAACTGCCCCTGAAACCTGGCTAACAGACCCTGACACCTGCACAGACAAACAGGCATATGATGCAGTGCAGGGGGAACTGAAATCGCAATTGCGGACATGCGCTCTGCTGCTGCAGGAATCGCCACAGGTAGATGCCATGGATCAAATCGTAGTTGGATCATGTAGGGAGATATTTTAAGAACAGCACAGAATTTGAATTAAATCTATTCATGCTGCAATATTTAATTCAGCTTCAATTTGGAAGTGTGAGTTTTGTCAGTTCTAAATAAGATCATATGCCCCCAACCTCACTGATAATTAACTCTACACTGAGATCTGACTTGTGCTTTTTATATTAGAATCCCCCTGCATTTTCCATTTAAAAATCTGTCCCTATAGAGCTCTTGGCGTTTTACAGTACAGTACATTACAATGCTTTGTTTTGTCAGTTCAATTGTTTCAACTGAAATTATGTATACATTTACACTATTGTTTATATTATGTATAACATGTCCCGTCCATCTGATATGTTAAATAACACCGTCTCAGCACAGCCAGACAAAAACATTACACTTACATGCGAAAATCAGCAAAACACTGAAAGTATGAGGTATGAAATAACTGCTCACTACAACGCTACAAACCCGAACAACAACGACTTGTTGTACAACTGGACTGGCTGTATTTACATGGTACAAGACCCATTCCGCGGCTCTAAAAAATGATATATAGAAAAAACTTACACGTAAAACCAAGTCACTGTAACTTTTACTCTATTAGGACGACCAAAATGAACAAAAGCTTTAGGATTCCGGAACAATGCCTATATCGTATAATGTATGATAATGTCCTCGGAAACACAAAGCAGTTACATGCAGCATGTAAACAGCACTTCAGTATTCCTGAAAACAGACACAGACAATTCCGCTGTTTCGCCAATAACTGCTGACATTCCATTAAAATTAGAACTGAACCATCAGAAATGGAGAAAATGCAGTAACATCTAAACGTGTCTAATTCTGTACAGTGAAGCCCTATTCGTGATATATTACGCGCGTAAATCTGATAAGTAAATTAAACCAGGAAAACGGTGGATCTTTCGGATAAAATCATATGCTTGCATTTAAAGTGCTAGTCTTTTGATATTTATTGCGAATTATGATACTATATCACTTATTCATGACATCGTGTGTTATACAGACTATTAATCAAACGCAAAGTTCCACCGGTGCAAGAACAACTTAAATTCAGTGGCTTTCCCTACGAAAACAACATGACTTCACCAGTAGTCCGCTGAAAAATACAAAGAAATGTAATGGTATGTACAAACACCCATTAACTATACGAATCTTGCGAAATCCCCTGCAATATTGTTTTCTTAATGCTAGTTGATTTGCTCTCTGTTTCGAGCGCGATAAAACAAGTATTTAAAGCAGTTTTACAGAATTTATCAATATATAAAATAATCGCCTGATCACTGTGACATTTATGTCACAATTTATGGATTTTGAAAATGGAAAAATATCCATGCTTCCCGGGTGGATCGCAGAAAAAGGCACTGAGGTTTCCCATCACTTCAGTGTGCAACGGCGCGACAATAAAAAGGTTAACAGTAAAAGATATCGTAAACAATGAAACACAAGCAATGATCCAAATTGAGCAATACATCTCCGATTAAACATTTGGAGCTACTCATAATATGTATTAAATAAATCGGTTAATCTAAACATAATCTAAACTCCGCCTTTTTTCAAGCGGCCTCGCTTTTGCTATTTCAGATGCAAAGCGACTGGTAAAGGTCAAAACTTAAAAGAAACACGGACTGCAAACAACACGAAACATGTAATCATGCTTTTACCTGCCGTGGAACCAGTCCTTGCAGGCGTCACATTCAATCATAAACCGGGTCACGTCGTACGGTAACCTACAGATGCAATAAACGGGCACGGTCGCCATGTTGGATCAATTCACAACAACGCCGGAGAAAGAGGCAGCACGATTCCTCCTGGAACCAGTTTGCAATCAGAAAACCCTAAGAACCGCACTTGGTACCGAACCATTAAAATTACACCGACATTCAGTAACAAGAAAATGTTTTTTTTCTTTCCCCTTGTAAGTCTTCTAAGTCTTGAATGCAGTCTTGACAAAATGTTGAACTAATTGTATTTCCTGAAGTGCATTGTTGTGTGCATGCCCCCTGGTGACACTACAGTATTCAAACATTGGCAAACTGTAAGAAAAAATGTATCCCTTCATTGTAATGTTGTTACGTCAGCTTGTAGCGCTGTATCCACGTCAAATCATATTACTAGTTATCATTAATACAAGACCGTTTAACGTATCATGTATCCTCGCTGTAACATTCAAGCAAGTTAACTGGAATTCACAGGTCATGAAACTTTAAAATCCTCAAAAGCAATTGCACCTCGGATGATAATGTTTCTTAACGTGTTCACCTCCCCTACACAAAATAATAATAATAATAATAAAATATAATGACAATAATATATCCATCATTATTATTGTTAGTCTGCCCATTCATTTTAATGTTAAAAACTCCTCTCAACTGTGACATTCCGTTATAACATTCTATTTTGGAACACTTAAGACCCTTGTTTTGAAGAAATATGCAAATTTATTTAAACAGATGTTTCATATCACTGCACAACTATCCAAACTACATTTCCACTGGGACAGGAAGTGTTAACTGTCTAATGTAAATCTCAAAACCTGTCCCTGCAGTTCCTTTTTTCTAAAAGGAGTGTTTTCTTATTTTAGAGAAACGTTATACATATTAATTACAATTTGAATAACCAATAAAGAAAATAAGACATCTTGCATTATGGCACCAAAGCAGAAGAGGTAATCGATGATGTCTATGACGTTTCTGCTGGTCGAGACAACGAAGTAGCACCAGGACTCAGGAAGCACGTGTAAAAATCTTTATTACACATGAGAATACAAATAGCCCCAGAATGGAAATCATGAAAATTAAAACAAAACCATAAAGTGAACAAACGATACCTATCTAGGCAAAGTGAATTAAGATTTTTGTGGATATCAGTGAAGAGGTTTGAATTTGAATGAAATCATTAGCTTGTATTTTGTAATTCATATTTCAATCTAGTGATGGACAGGAATTCATTGCACTTAAGATGTACGGATGTACGTATATATTTTCTAAATCAGTGTATGCAAACTTTGTTCCAAAATGTCATTATTATACATATTATAGTACATCATACCATAAGCCCAAACATCTTTAGAAGGCATTTTGAAAAACAATTTGCAGAAATGGTATTTGTCCATTGGCTATAGCATAGAAACAGGCCATCTAGGCCTCAAATCATGATCTAAGGTGACAGATAATGTGATGCAGAGTTGGTACATGGCAGTCATAAGACAGTATCAGATTTGTTTTTTTTTTAGAATATTTTCTTTAATTAAAACTATTTTACAATGAGGCACATATGCATTTCAAAAATCTAGCTAAGTTTTGATAATCACTTATGAAAATTGGAATGCAAACACTGCACAAATTATTAGCATGAAAGATCACTGCACACTGTGCTTAAGGAAGCTGGCAGTCTTGATTAGACCTGACAGCATGGTGTCCTAGTCTGATGATCTTCTCACAGTGATCGAGTCTCTCTATTAAAGTCTTGTCATAGAGATACAATTACTTGCTTGGTGTAGACATCCTGCACAACAGGAAAGCCCTCCGTGGTACCAAGTAAACACCACCTCCTCGGGCAGATGGTCTCTTATTCCTTCTTCTGTGACCCTTTCAGAAACACAACCAAGTCTGTATATGAACAGCGTGTCAATACTGAAGGCAAAGAACTGGACCTCAAACTTTTGCTTAATTATAATGATGGCACTTTCAATTCTACAGATTTAGGAGAAAAGTTATCAGCCTTAACCATTCCAGCATATCAGCTGCTACAATGTTTAGCCAGGGGCCTGTACTGCGAAGCGGGGTTACTGGCTTATCGGGGAAACTTGTCGGATTTAAGGTAGTCTGGGCAAAATGTAAGTGAACGAATATTAAGTCCATTTAAACTTAGGTACCTTAAATCCGACAACTTACCCCAATAAGTCAGTAACCCCGCTTCGTAGTACAGGCCACTTGTTGAAGAATTCCATAACAAAAACAATAAATAAAAAAATAAATAAAAGAGTAGTGTTGTTGTTACTATTATTATTATTATTATCATCATCATCATCATCATCATCATCATCAAGTAAGGCCAGTCACTCACCTACATTACCCCAGTATTTGTGGCTAAGCTTCTCCCCCAGCAGGTAGAGGGGAGCCATGAAGAGCGCAGAGGCAGCAAAGAAGAGAACCATCTTCACAGGGCTTAGGTGGGCCAGAATGGGATAAACCCAGATCCCCGATGCCTGGTGCACCCATAAGATCCTGCCAGAATTTTCAAAGAGGGCTCTGTGCTACTATTACACAACTCAATGATTAATACATATTCTGATACAAAAACATACGCAGATATGAAGCATTTTGTAGAAATTTGAGGAAAGTTTCAGGTAAATTTAACAACTTTCTATGAGGTTCCATTGTGATCAGCTTGTTTATAGCACAAATGATGTGAGAATGCCAATGCCTTTAATAGAGGAGAGGTTACCAGGCCAAGTAGAGAGCAGAAAAGAGCGCCAAGCCCATAAGACCTTTCACTCTTCTGGGATATTGATGAGGTTGAAGGTACAGCTCTATCAAAAGGAGGAGCATGATGACTGTGTGCTATGGGCACAAAAAAGCACCCAATTTATTCATCTAAACTAGAACCAAAATTAGGCATTGCATGCATATTACATGTAGTAGGTATTGTGGGATGAGAACATATGTTATTGATCTTAGGGAGAAATTTTGAAAATGCACAGATACAGTGCAAAACAGACGCAAACAAATACGTTGAAAGCTTAACCCTTCTTGTTATAGCGATATCATGGCACAGGCTAAATGCTACGGACGACAGTGCTGTTATTGTATCGCAAAACTTACCATTGCATGATTGAGCCACAGAGGAATAATGCTGTCTATATGTTTAGGATAAACCAGTTCCCGGTCAATGGTATATAGGACCCAAAAAGAGATAAACACAAACTGAGGAAACAGCAAAAATAAAGCCATATTAATCAGTAATCTGCAGAAATTTATGACATCAGGCATTCAAGCATGCAGAAAACATAAAAGGTATTAAAGAAAACTCACCGTCCCGACAGGGAACACAAACACAGTGAAGAATATATCTTGTGTTTTAATGAGAAATTTGGGACATCTGCCGTGAGGGGCATAAAACAGCTGATAGATCATATCAACCAAACAACAAAGTCCAAAGAACAATGCCTGCATAACCTATAGAAGAAAAATGTATTAGACATATTGATACATATTTTTGTTTGATTTACATGAATCGAAGGTAGCTTTACTGTACATGTCTACAAGGAAACATGAAAAAACGTGAAAACTATGCACCCGCTTTTAATACGGTATTTTTAATACGGTAAAAATGAAATCCTTTACAGACACGTAAAGATCATGCTTTGGTGCTACACTTATTGTGAATCAAAAAATACAAACCCATCCCACAACAATACACTGTGTTTGAGTTAAATACAGGCCTAACTTTAACATTGCATAAATAAACTTGAATTTAATACGTCTTAAATACGAGCTCCAAGAAGTACTAAACTAACCTGATGGCCACTTAAGTACCTCGTAAATTACAACTTGTACTGTATAGATATACCGTCTTGGTGTCCTTCATTGCAACATAGAGGAACACCTTGTTAAATAACATCGTCTAGCTGCTGTAAGTGTTTATACTTTAACAACGGATATTGTCGCTTGTTGTATAGAAACCTAAAAGAGGTCCACCTGATATATGTAATCGTAATCGTTTATGCAAGGTTAAATGTGCAATCCGACTGAAACATTGTAAACGATCAACTAGTTTATACTGCTAACTTGTACCTATCGATAAATAATAAAGCCTTACAAGATTGATGAAAGTCAAATATTTCCATCGTCCTCCGTATGAGTTGGCTCCGGGATGCCGCTTGGTAATTGCGAGAGAGCAGTTTACATTAATTAGATAAACAGCCCATACAAATACTACTAAATGAATAAAACCCCGCCAGCGCAGCGGCACTGTGACGGCAGCCATTTTCCCAGTTCGGCACGCGATCTTCAACAGAAGACGGTGACGTCACAATCACGACTGCCTTCACGTTGTGAAATTCGGTTATATGATAGGGTATTAATATTTTATAACACGATTATCCTTTGTCACCGTCACTACGTACTGTACCTTTACTCTCCTGCATATACAGACACGGAAGAGTGCCTTTTGTACCCGCTGTCTTAGGCTTCTCAGTGGGGTGTGAAAGGACCCCTCGTGATAATTTACAAACAGATTGCTTCCATATCGCATCATGTCTAAGTGTTGGAGGTGCTCAGTGCTGCCTTAAATTTGTTACTATAGACCTTGTGATTCTGCTGGACTGGCTGCACACCTGTATTAGCCTTTCTGCTAGTCTTAAACTGGTTCAGATCATATCTAAGTGGGCATGTATACTGTGTTGCATTTGATACCTATGTTTCCAAACTTCAAACTCTTACATGTGGAGTTCCCCAAAGTTCAATTTTAGACCCTATATTTTTTAACCTTTACATGCTGCCACGTTCAAGTATAAGAAATGAACATAAAATCAGCTTTCATCAGTATGCAGATGACACACAGTTTTCTCCGCCATCAGCTCCAGATGCACATACTGTAGCTCTATCTGCATCCTGTTCGAATGCATAGATGACATAAACCTGTGGGTGTCACAAAACTTCATGCAACTGAACAAGGAAAAGACATAGATTCTTGTTATTGGAAATGAAGGGCAGATGAAGGATATAGTGGTGTACTTAAAATCAAGGCCAAACAATAAATTAGAAACTTCAAAGTCCATTTCAATGGTGATATTAGTTTAGCAGCCATATCAGCAATGTCTGCAAAACAGCATACTGTCACCCTCATAATATGGCCATAGTCTGGGGTATGTTATCATATGTTGCATATCTAAGAAATCCATTTCGAACCTACACCGGGTCCAGAACGCCACTGTTAGCATGCTAACACGCATCAGGCACAGGGATCACATCACACTAATACTCTTAAATCCCTGCACTGGCTTCTGTGGCTTTTAGGAGTGATTTTAAAGTCCCTTTGCTAATTTTTAAATGTTTACATAGCCGTCTTATCTGTAGATATGATCTGACTGTAAATTATGTCCCAGGCAGATCTCTCAGATCATCCGAGAGAGATTAACTGATTATTCCTAAAACGCCGCGGAAGAAGGAGGAGACAGCTTTTAGTCACTATGGTCTCAAGGTCTGGAACTCTCTCCCAGAAAACCTGAGCGCTACTGAATCTCTTAGTACTTTCAAAACCAGGCAGAAAGCACATCTTTTCACCATTGCATATAATAATCTGCAATAATCAATTATTTTCTGAATTTATTTAATGCACATATTATAATCAGTTACTTTATAGATTTATTTCTGAGAATATGTGGAGTCACTTCCCGGAAGAGGTACGGGCTAGAATCCCCTGTGAGGTATGGGCAAGAATCCCCTGTGAGGTAAGGGCTAGAATCCCCTGTGAGGTAGGGGCTATAGCATCCCCTGTGAGATACGGGCTAGCATCCCCTGTGAGGTAGGGGCTAGAATCCCCTGTGAGGTATGGGCAAGAATCCCCTGTGAGGTTGGGGCTAGAATCACCTTTACGGTAAAGGTTAAATTCCCTTATGGAGAAGATGGGTGTTTAGAGTCTCCTGCATTTTTGGTGGTATTTAATTTTATTTTAATTTATTTTATCATTTGTGCTTATCATAATTTCTTATTATCGTTTTATCTTATTATTTTAATTTCTTTTTCTTCTGTTAGAAGGTCTGTAATGCACATTGTAATCCCTGTGGTTAAATCAGTGCTATATAAATAAAGACTGATTGATTGATTTAAGGTGGGGAGGAGTGCCAGGGGGAGGGGACAGTAAAATGGGGTAGTATCCAAAGTGGAAAATGTATTTAAATATTTGACCATCAAAATCTCAGTATACAAGAGCAATCATTGGTTCGTTAACAATTTATCTCCACAAGGTGGCAATAATGGACAGTGATTTCATTTTATTCTTCTGTCCAGATCTATTCCCAGCTATAAAACATGCATCCCTGCTTTTTCCTCACTCAATACGTATAAAATTGGTAGTTACCTCTGTTTCAGTCTATGTGATATTAGCTATGAATAGCATCAAGCACACTATAACTTCTTTCCATTTAAATATTTTACATCCATTAATAATCTTTGTGTGGCAGGTTTTCATGTACAATGAGCAGAGAATCTTCATGCGTACCCAGAAGGTTCTGTGTTTCTGCTACTAAGCTGTCTCACAGCTTGAACTACATTTCTGGTATCAAGGTCAGGTCTAGGACCATGATGTGGGTAGCATTTGCACCCAAGCTATAAATGTGAGGAACTGATTACTATGTTTGTGAGTCCAACCTCTTATCATGCTGGGATCAATGAACCTAAAATCCCAACTATCACAATAGAAGTAGCTAGTGTTGTATTAATGTGAAATGGATCAATAGTTAAACAGAAGATGAGATAGATTTGTGACACGCAAATGGCCTTTGGTTTAAAGGCAATGGTAAAGCAACAAGCCAGACAGTGGTCAAGCTGAAAACGCATTGCCAAATACGAATTGTCACGTCGCGTTTCAGGCGAGCAGGCAGACAGACGAGTCGAGCCGTAAATACAGGCAAACGGGGTTTATTAAGGGGAAAACAAGCAACACGGCACACAACATCAATGACGGATCTGGGAAAAAGGGACTCAGACGCGGACTAAATACACAAGACAAGCCGAAATAACAGGAAACAGGTGATCACAATCGGGGTAGTATGCGTGGGTAATGAGGGGGCGTGGCACACACGAGGATCGGACGAGCAGGATCATGACAGGAATTATTATAATTTTTCATGTTATGATGTCCATCTATATCTTAGGTCCTTTTCTTGAAATTAGAAACATTTTAAAGGTAAAGACAGAAAATGCTACAGAATCAATCTGCATTAGTGTCCTGCTTCTTTTCAGCAACTGCAGGTTTTCATCATACTGTATAACAGTATAGAAAGGTCAAAGTTCAGCATTTCAACCTATTCCACCAGATCAATGTTCAATACCTTGAAGATATCTGTGGTGAGGCTCTCTCACTCATTACAAAAGGGGTCTTCCAGTGGGATGAATGGCCGTCAGCTCCAGTACCGATCCTATAGCCCAACGAAAGGGTGTGTGAATCAACAGAGGCTGCAGGAAGACGCTCTGCTGGGCTTTTATGTAGTGGACTGGGATTGTGCACCAACTCCACTGGTGACTTTAAAAAATGTGGCAACCTTGCTTTTGTGTTAGTATATTTCTGCCAAGACTAACCCAGTTTGATCCAATAGCACAATAACAGGCATAAAAACAGAATCTTTGAAATTACACATGGTCTACTACACTGATTTTTAAGCTCAGGTATTGATTGGTTCCCTCCCTTTCTCTAGCTCAGCCTGATTTTTTTCACAATACAAAAGGAAATGAAAAAACCAATAAAACAAGACATGTATTTTTTATCAACACATTATTTAATGCATGGTGAGTTTTACAAATGTTCCTTCAACATCAAAAGTCACAGAAATGGTCAAAGAGTATATAAAAAGAAAATGAGAGTGAAACAATTAAAATAATATCAGTCCTAAAATTTGCTTCCCCTTTTATGAAATGTTCTCTAATCTCTTTTATGTTCCCTTGCCATTATAACTTTCTCCAACCTCTTTGAGTAACAGCTGAGCAATATTTGTATCCTCTCAGGTGTATTTTTAGCTCATTCTTCCTGGTATTTTTGTTCCAAGTGTATCTCCCTCATATGAGCTTCTTCGATCCGCAGGTTTTCTATTATATTAAGGGGTAAGGAGACCGGAAAGGGTATGGAGACCGGGAAGGGTAAGGAGACCGGGAAGAGTATGGAGACCGGGAAGGGTATGGTAAAACTTTCACCTTATTCTTTTTAAACCGTTCCTGAGTTGACTTCGCTTTTGGATCATTGACTTATTGTAGGATCCACTCCCTCTTCATTTTTAGCTTTTTGACTCTGTTGATATTGGACTGCATTCATTATTCCTTTCCCTTCATGCAGAGCTCCAGGGTCTGATGCAGACACACACCCCCAAAACACCAGCGATCCTCCACCACGTTTGACCGTGGGAATGGTGTTCTTTTCCTCATAGGCACTGTTTTTTTCTCACCATACATACCTGTGTGAATTATGAACAAATAATTCAACCTTGGTCTCATCAGACCACATAACCTTGTTCCAAAATTCATCTGGTTTGTTCACATGCTCTTTACACATACAGTTGGTACTGGTGTCCCTAAACGCTTTGAAATTGTTCTGTTTCCCTCTCCAGCTGTATGAAAATGTAGCAGTTTCATTTTGAGGTCCCCTGACAGCTGCTTCCCTGATCCCATTGTTTTCGTTGCTCTCAGCAAACTGCTTGAGGCTGCTGCTGGAGATCAACCCGCTTGTAAAAATAACATGCAAACCTAACTGAACACATCTAGTGCCACTCATCATGCATTAAGTGCTGACATAGCTTTTTAAAGATCAGGAACCTAATCTGACATATTTAAGTTAAATACCTACAGGGTTTATCAAAGGGGATGTGAACTTTTGAGTTTGATATTAAAGGTGAATTCAGACTAGGACTCAGCTGTTTTAATATTGAGGCCATATCATAAAAGGTTTTCAGAAGGGAAACACCGTAAAATTATTATGGAGGGTTATTTTGTAGATGAACTGTACAACAGAGGCAGTTTCTTTTCATTATTCACCCAAGGTCTAAAGGGGGTGCAGACTTTTGCACTCAGCTGTATATGTTGTTTCTAACACTTTTGCACTATTTTGCTTGTGCTACAAATCAAAAGGTCGGTGGGTGTGTGTGGAAGGTTCTGGGTTTGACCCAGAACCTTCCACACACCAGGGCTGTGTACCAGGGCTGTGTGTGGCTTGTGGATTGAAAGCCAGTGATCAGAAGGTCACCTGTTC